TTCCTTTTCATAAACTAAACAAATCTGTCTCTTTCAAATTTTCACTGAGGTTTTTGGGTTTTTTTCCCAAATCTTTCATCATTCTTATGTCCTTTTTCTTGCTTATCTCCAGTTTTAAGGCCATCTGTCTTAAAGTAAGAACACTTGCACTTGATACAACATTCCATCTGTTGCCACAGTATCGCAAATCAGAGGCAGAAGATCCCCAGTTTACAAATTAACACTTTTCTGAGAGTATTGTTTGGGTGAACCTGATGTTCATCTACATGTCCATTGAGATGTCCAAGTGTTTTCATTGCAGTTGAGGCCTAAGCCTTTGTGAATATGTGCTCAAATGCCAATTTGTGTAAATTTCTTATTATCTCATTTCTCACCCAACATCATCTAAAGTGGTTAGATTGTTGTGAATAAGTAGAAGTGCAGAGGGAAGACTGACGGCATTTTGTGTGAATCTAAAAAGGTACTGAGAACTACATTCATCCTGGTTTTAAGATTTATTTTTTTTTCATTCAGATATTAAGGTCCTGGCTCAAGTATCTTGTTTAGGAGCAAATACTGGCACATGCTGACTCTTTACTGCATAGACAACCTTCAGAGGGCTGTTCAGATCTTTTGATGGGGCCTTATACTTTTAGTCACCTCCTATTATGTGTTATACAGTAAGTATCCTAAAGGATTTGCTTTACATCGCAGCTCACTCCACCAGTTCTTCATGTCTATTGTTATCAGATAACAATAGGAGACAGTAACTAATTTGTAGAAAGGCAGATCCCTGTGATTTATGTAGAGCAGTGCATTAGCATTCAGTCTTTACTAGAGTAAAAACCTTGACTTACAAAGATTGGAGAGAAAAATAGCTCTTAACTTTCATCATCAAGAATAATTAACCATGACAGCAGCTGAACTTAAGATTCATCTCAGTTAATGTTTGTCAAGGCAGATAATACCTGAACTGACCAAAATCAAACACAAAACCCACACCTAGCTAATCTGTCAAAATCTGCTCATATCTGCAATCACATGAAACAGAACTGACTGTTTGAATAAATCACATTTTAAGATTACAGTTAGTGTGTGAGCTAATTAAGATTCCTCAGTTCTTAGAAGGCTATTTATTATTCAAAGTGCAAATTCTCTGTGAATGCTACAATTTTGGGGCAGATAGTATATGCAACTCAAAAATTGAATAGAAATTACAAGAGAAAGGAGCTGGGAGAGTAACCCAAAAAAAGCAAGCATATGTACATATGGCTAGAAATCTGGCTGAAATGCAGCACTTCTGTGACTCATTCTCTTGACAGAAGAGAAGCAGAATAGGAAGGATGGGAGTTAAGGAGCTGTGGAAAACATGAGAAAAGATCAAGAGGCTTCCCAAGAGTAAAAGAGCACTTATGGATCAGTTTTCACCTCAAAAATTTTCAGTATGTACATATAGGTGCTCCAAAAGCCCTTCTAAATATACAAGGGAAAATGCTCCTGAAACTTCAAAAAGTCTTCTGATTTCAATGTATTTCTGATTTCTGTGTTTGTTTTTAATCCTATAGTATAACTTCTGATTGGGTTGTCTATGCAGAAGAGATGTTTGGAAGCCTTCTCTGAGATCAGATTTGATGGTTTTCCATCCCAACATTTCACTAACACAAAGGGAATAACATTTACAGGCCTGCAGACTTAATAATCACTATTGCCTTAGGCTGTTGTGCTGCTTTTGTGCTTCAGCCTAAGGTAAAAAGGAGAGGGCAATGTGTGCAAGTTTTTTCTGTAGCTGATCTGAACCAAATGATGGAAATACAGAGAAAAAATATAGATGTGAAAATAAAGGAAGACAGTGAGAGAACTAACATCAGAAGAAAAACCACAAAAAAAAACCCTAACCCCCCCCCCAAAAAAAAACCCCAAAAACCAATACCAAAACAAAAAACCCAAGCAAAACAAAACTGACCAAAGAAAGATCAGAGAATACAGGAGTCTTGTTTGAAAAGAGCAGACAGCCAGACACTAGTAAATTTTGCCTTCAGTTCAGTTGTTGTGCTCATGCTGGAAAGCTTCATCCTCAGTGCCCTGTTTTTTCACACTAGTTGTCTCTTCATTTATGATCAGAGACATTGTTAATGACACTGACTCTTAAATAGTTGTTAACAGGCTCTGGAGCTGAAATGAGGAAAGCGAGTTCTACCTCTTGGATTATTTTTTGAAGCTGGAAGCTTTCTGGTGCAAATATCACAACATCCATTTTGTCTGGCTTGCATGTGGAAAGTTTTCTTTGCAACCATAAAACATGGACATGCAACTGTTATTTTATCCATGGCTAGCTCCTGAAGCACAAGATGACTGTCATGAGGGAAAACAGCCAGCTCACTAAGCTGCCCCAAGTAGGCCAAGTGTGACCTGTAGATCAAACCAACACAGAGAGTGGGTAACAAACAAAGGAACTGAAATAGTTATAAATAATATCTTTAGCAGAAACTTCTTTGCTGAAGAATTATAACAGAATAGGATTTTAAGAAGAGTGTGCTTGGCTGTGTTAATAGAGGGCCAATGTTCTCTGTGTGCTTCTGCTTTGATATTCAGCAAATACCTTGGAGATTTTTATTTGGATTTTCATACTCCCCAGGACAGGATATTCCAGGGTAGGGTTGCTCAACAAATAACTGCTCAAATGATATTGCCTGGGCTGCTTGCATCTGCCAGAGTAACCCTGCCCAACTGTGCAGATCCTTTTAAAAAATCTAAGGAGGGAGAAGAAACATTTAAGGATAACCAAATAAGAAGTGCCTGTGCCTGAAAAAGGAATACAAGAACAAAGAAGATGAAGAGGGAAAGCAGTAAAGAAAATGTGAGAATAAAGAAGATGAAGGGGGAAACAAGCAAAGGAAATACGAGAATGGGCATCACCAGCTACTTCCAGATCTGTACACAAGGAGCACAGACCCTCGCCAAGAAAGTGGAACATTTCAAAATTAGTTTGGAGGTGGTCCTGGAAAATGTACATGCAGAACAATTCTGCAGTGGCAGCAGGGGGCATGGACTGGATGTGAACTTATTGGGTCTCTTCCATCTCCAGTTTCTATGAAAACAGTAACCATTCTTTAGCAATATGATAAATATTTAAAAAAATCATAGATACAAACTAAATAAAACATATTAAATAACAAGTGCAGCCAATTTAATCATGACTTTTCAACTTTTTAAACCAAGACAGCAGGGAGGAAGAAGGAACAGGCTTGAGATTTTTAGTCCTCTTTGTTTAAGGCTAATTCACATAGGACACACCTTCATGAGACTTGTTCAATAACATTTGTGGAGCTGGGCTGGAGTTGTTGTTGGATTGTTCTCAGTCCACAGAGCTGCTGGTTTTATCCAATGTGCACTGGATGCTGTCTCTTTCTAGCAGCTTTTAATTCAGATTTTGCCTTGTTTATGTTTCATTCCTAGCTGGACCAGTAGATTTTATTTTGGGTAGTGCAATATCAGTCTAATACTTAAGCATTTTGTAACCAAAAGCCAATTCCTTTCTTCATTCCTGCACTGACCACAACAACATAAACTGCCCTTCAAGAGCAAATCTCCTCCTCTGTAAGGGATCCATGTGTTGCAGATACACAAACTTCATGTTCCTCAGCAGGGGGAGAAAAATTTTTGGCTTAAAAAACATGGAACTCATTATTTGAGCACGTGGCATATCCACAAAGTCTAGCTGCAGCAAGGGGACTTGTGTTCTATGGGACAGCCACTAGACAGTGATAGAGCCACATCTACACAGCCAAAGCACACCCCTCTAACAGTCCCAGTCTCTCTCCAGCATTTCCTTCACAACCTAGCAGCACAAATTTTCTCTGAATCCGTATGAAAACTAATCTTGCATGTTTCTTCTGAGTAGTCACCACTCGGTCTCAGCAAGAGGAAGGCTTTACTAAAGCCTTTATTCCAGTACAAGCTGAAGCTGAGTAACATTCTAAGGTAGAGAGAGACAAGGATATGTCTTGTCTGTGGTGCTCAGTTTGTACAATGGAAAGAAGGCCTCAGCTTTCTGGGCTGTCAGTCTTCAGACTACCAGCCTAGCTTCTTTCATCTGCAGTAAAAGTAGTTTAATAAGTTGAAGCAAACATCGTCATTCTCCTGGTTGCATACTTCCCTGAACTTAGGTTCCAGAACAAAACAACGGAGAGCCTGGTTTAGGAGGCCTCATTGTATAATTCTCTTCAGCATGCCAGGCCTTGGGAAAAAGACTCAGTTATGCATATTTTGGCTCAGATTTGGGCTTCACCTTTCCAGCAACTGGCTCAAGGCACTTATATCCACATCCATTGTATGAAGTATACCTCTGACAAACACCAGCTGCATCCTCAGGAAGCTTTGTCAGAAGGAACATTAAATTTTCCAGTTATCCCATTTGACTTTGCTCCTTGGCATCTAGCCTTTTTATCTCCATCCTGACTCTTTCATCTTCTCCAGCCACACACACACCCTGGATAAAGGACACAGGTAAACTTGGTAGAAGCAAGAACAGGAAGCCTGTCCTAGCACCAGTTCATACTCCTGGCAAGGACTAGGTGAATCAAGCAGCTTTCCAAACCCTTTTGGAGTGCTGCCCGACTTGAGAGACTTGACCTGAGAGCTGCAAGAGTTGTTTGGAAGGTGGCTTACATTTTGTCCAGATGATGGGAAGTTTCCCCTATGAAGAGTACCTGCAGGAAAGTGCCTCTGTGGGATTAGCTTGTCCTTCACAGCTAGAGACAACGGATGAACAAAATGCCTGTATGCAATGAGGAGACTTCAGTACTTTGTCTTACAAGCTGTCACCTGCCTTGTTCACATCAACACAGAATCTCACTACTCCCCTCACCTATGTGAGACTCCACCACCCCATGGTATCAGCACATTTCCTACTCTGGCTACTCACTAGAAAATAAATTGGAATAGAGAAAACCATTCACAGAGCCGGTGTAAGATGGCTGTGCAATGTCATCCAACAAAGCCATTATTCCTGACACCAGGAATCATCAGAGACATCATTAAAAGAATCATTAGCCAGCATAACTTGCCCAACTGTGCCCTAAAAGACAGTTCATGAGACCTTATCTGCCTTAGTTCTGCACAATATATACATAATTCCTTCATAGGTCCAGCTAATTACAGATGCCACTCCAATCAATGATCTCTTCCAAGAGTCCTTTCTAGCAACTGCCACCTTCTCTCCCAGTCTGCTTTGGACTGAGTTGCTACTGCATCTGGGCATCTGATGTGATGCAGCTGAAAACCATAACAGCCTTTCAATCAAACAGAACTCTTAGGAAAGTAAGAGTAACTTAAAGTAAATAACTCTTAGAGGAAAGTAGTTGCTTCTGAGCACCCTTCTATCTTTCTGAACTGTCTCCCTGTTCTGTGAGACTCCCTTGGTAGCTCCCTGAAGAATCTGCCCACTGAACCACAGGCGTCTTTCCATCACAGGGGACATGCTGCAACTTGGCAGATTGGCCTGACAATGCAGACTTTGATCCTTTGAGATCAAACCCTGAAGGCCACAGTGCAGTAGAGGTGACCGCACTGTCATGGAAGCCAGAGAAGTCCCTTAGCACTTCAGCTTTTCTCTCCTTTACCTTTAGGTCTGATATTCCATCTCAGCCCTTCCCAGTTAAAGAAATGGCTCGTGGTATTTCCAGGAAATATTCAAAGGTAGGCTTGACTTGTAATTCCAGAGGAACAAAGGTTCAGTAGTTCTGTGTATTCCTTTTCATTTTGCTTTCACATGTGTCTTTGAAGTAGAAATTATTCTCAAAAAGTATTTGTTGGTTTCCTCCTTTCACAGGCATTGTATCACTGAGCTACTGATGCTGTTTAGTATTGCAATAGAGAAGGAAATAAATTTCCAAAAAAGACATTTGGATTTTACTTGTTATTTTTACGCTGTATTTTACGTGTTTGTTGTATATGGCAAAGGCAGAGAAAAGCTGAGATGTAAGGACTTCCAAATCAGGTCACTACTGAAACTGGCTTGGGTCCAGAGTCTCTACTAAAAATGTCAGCTTCATCTGAAAAGGGCAATAGAGTCAAACCCGCAATTAATGCCATTAGCATAAGAATCAGAATGTTAGTATTTCCCTGGTGTAAGTAGCTTAATCTTTCTTTTTCCTCCCACCTAATTCAAAATAAAATAAAGCCATGTGAATCAAAATGAAGGGTAGCATGGGTTTGAAAAGGGCAGCATAGGTAATTCTTCCTCTGGAATGCTCCATGGTCAGCTGTTAAGGCTATTTCCTTGCTAAGTGACAGATGTGGGTTCAAATCTGCTTAGAAATGGAAAGAACTGAGCCTTCTACACCCTGGCTGGGCTCCTCAAAACACTGGGATCTGCGGGTGCCCTGATAAAGTGCACTCTGGTATGATCTGCTTGAACTGTGTAGGTGAGAAAGAGGAATAATGCCTGCCATACTGCATAGGCTTCAATACAAGGGCCCTGAATGGATGTCATCCTACTGTCTTGGCTTGTGTTGCTCAGTTCTAGAAGCCAAAGAGCTGTCCAGCAAGATCAAAGACTGTTCCAGTGGGCTTGTCCTGCTGCCTCTTTCTTGTCTGCCTTTTATTGCTGGAAACAGTTTTTGTTCTGTTGCTATTGTCATGATGGAAGAAGCCATCACAATGTGCTGAAGTCACAGATAATGGAGAACTACAATTAATATTGAGAGAAATTTAAGAAACCTTTTTGTTGCATTGTTTTCTATTTGATACAGCCATGCATGGGGTACTGGGCCACAAAAACCTCTGTGGCATAGATAGCATGGCTGGTTAAGTGAGGGTAGAGCAGGCTGCGTGGGGGTTGTGCAGCAATTAATATAGCAGTAGCTGATTTACAGATTTTGTCAAAGAAGTTTGGAGTTTGCTATTTTAAAGGTTTTCTTTCATCTTTTCTGTCCCTGCCCAACAACTACATGATTATTTAAAATAACCAACTTCCTGCTCTCCTCAAGTTTCTTCACAAAAAGAGAACTTTAAAGTAAAAAAAAAAAAAGAAAACTTTAAACTAAAACAGAGAGAACTTTAAAATAAAAGTTTAGTTTCATTGCCATGTGACAGCATAGCCCTGAAGAGCCTGAGTCCAAATACTTGGTGTACAAAGAAATCTGTACTGTTTCTTCAAACAAGATTTTATTTTGATTTAGGATTTGAGACATTAACACTTTTGACTGCTGCAGGGAAATATTAAGTTTTCTTGGGGCTGTAAATCAAAGTTTAATATAACATTAGGAGGGAATTCTCTAAATTTGTAGACCCTGTATTTGGAAACACCTCCAGTTAAGCATGATTAGGTATTAAGAAAGCTATTCTTTCACCTTTGAATTCAGTAATTTTATTTTTTTTTAATCTGAAAATTATTTGCTGGCATTTTATTATGGTTGTGCAATTATATTTTATTAACTATCAAAAGGATGATGATCTGTTTCTTGAAAAGTTAATGTACTGCAATAGAAGTAGAAAAGGAAGACCAATTATTTAGCAAAATTAGCTGTATCCTAATACATGAAATGCTATTTGAGTACATAAGTGACTTCAGGTCTGTGGGTAATTCTGCAATAATACATAGGTTATACATTTACTAAGATTAGGTCTCATGAATCTGCTTCAGAAATAAAGGTCTCTATCACCTCTTCAAAGAAAAAATACGACAATTTTTTAATACATTCTAAGTGTCACTCTCACCAGTATATTGCAACTCTAACAACATTTTTATTGTTATTATTTGGCAAAGGAAGACTATGCTAAGGACAGATCCAAACCTCTAAGGGTGAGCTGTAGAACGGCACGAGAGTCTGTGTATAGGGCTACATGCTACTTTTCCTTAAAAAAATGGATTTTATGAGGTTAAGAGTTTTTAAATACAAACTGTATAACGATCCCAAAAGACTGTTGCTCTCAAACAGTGTTGAAAGATTTTTGGACTTGGAAAGCAATGTAATAATGTAAGTGCTACCATATAATAATGAAAACATTTTGTTCTCTGCATTTCAATTCTTAACATTCAAATCAACCGGTGGGTATAGCAGATCTGTAGCTGTAAAAATCTGCATAACCACACCAAAATTTCACTCTGCAGATCAAGATGAGGATTTTCATCTTCAAGAAATACAGGTCCCTGGTGTCTACTGTGTGAGCTTCAGGTACCGGAGAACAGCATAAACTAAGAGGTCAGACTTTTTCGTTGTGAGCTGGAAGAAGACCCCAGCCTTGAAAAGAAAACTGAGCAAGCAATGATTTCTTCTTTCTTTTTTCTTTTTTCTTCCCCTACACTAGCGCCCTGCTACAGGGTTAAGTACCCGTGTGCCAACCTGTCGAGTGCCGCTGCAGGGGGAACCTCGGGGTCAGCGCCTGGCTGCAGGGAGGCTCATGGAGAGGTATCCGACTTCCCCGCGCCTCCGGGGCGGAACGCGCGCTGCCCGCCCGGGGCCGCCGCTACCTGCGGGGCAGCGCGGGGCGGCGCGCAGCGAG